ACTACGTAATACTTTAATTTATTTAACCAGTACGCTATTTTTATACAGAGAGGTCCCTGCAGCTTTTTGCTCCCATACACAGTGCTGTGATGAACATTGTCCTAGCCAAATATGCAAACCTTCCATTGCTTCTGTCAGAGAAGTTGAACTGCTAGGTCACAGGAGATACAGTTTAGAGGTGTAATGGTATTCCACTACGGTTGTGCTAACCTCCATTTCCACCACAAGGACATGCACACCTGCCTGTTTTCTAAAAGCCTCACCTCCACTGTGTTATTATAGTTTTGTAATCTTTGCAGATTTAATCAGAGCAAAACACTGTCCTTCTTACATTTGTATTTCTTTGAATCCAAAAGAGGTGAAACACTTATTCTGTGTCTTATACATTCTTAATATATTTTGTGAATTGCCTGTTCACATCCTTTACTCATTTTTCAACTGGCATCTGCATCTTTTCTCATTGATTTGGAAGGTACTCCTTTTACATTAGGGATTAGGAAGCCCTTTCCATATTTTCCAAAATCATTTTATTTTTCCATTCATTAGTTGATGGGCCTCTGGATTGCTTCCACTTTTTGACTTTTATGAATAATGATGCTATGGGGACCAGCAGTTACCGTAATGGCTATGTTGCTGAATTCCCATGTAGTTGACCAAGGTTCGAGTCCCGGACCCGGCAGCTTAAACTCACGCCGGGCGTGTGTGTGTGTGTGCCCAAGATCCTGAGAGGAGAATGGAGGAGAAGGGATTGCAACGTGGCCATCACCCCGGGGGGGTGATTTCTCGCTTTCTATCTTTCTGTCTATCTCTGTCTTTCTGGCGAGCACGCACGCCCTATAGCGAAAACCTCTTCAAAAAATATTTTAAAAAAATAATGATGCTATGAACATTTGTTCAAAGTGTTCTTGTGAACACATGTTTTAATTTTCTTGGGTATATATCTAGAAGTGAAATTAGATCATAGTGTAACTCTGTTTAACTGTTTTTAGGTTTATTTTCTTTGGAGAGGGAGACAGAGAGAAACGCACAGCCTCAACAGGGTCTTGTCATGCCGCAATCTCCCCTCCCCTTGCCTAGCCCTTCAGTCATCCAGGATCATGGGCACATGCATGCCTGGTGTATTTCAAGTCAGCCCAAACTGTGGCATTCCATATGGCTCCAGCATTGCAGAGCACCTGGCAGCACCATGGCTGGGTCTATCTTTAACTTTTTGAGGAGTCATCAAACGGTTTTCTACAGCAGCTAGACCATTTTACCTTTCCACTAGCAATATATGAGAGTTTCAGTTACTCCACATCTGTGCCAACACTCATTTCTTTCTTATTATTTGTTTTATTGTTGTTGTTGTAGATTATAGCCATTTTAAAGGGTGTTAAGCAATTTCTCATTGTGGTTTTGTTATGCATTTCCCTAATAACATTGAGAATTTTTGTATGTACCTATTGACTGTGCATATCTTTGGAGAAATATGTTTGCAAGTCCTTTGCCCATTTTTAAATTGTGTTATTTGTGTTTTTATTATTTAGTTGTAGGAAATCTTTATATATTCTCTATAGTAGTCCCTTGTCAGACATACAATTTCCAAATCATTTCTCCCTTTCTGTGGGTTGTCATTCCACTTCGTTGATGGTGTCATTTGAAGCAAAATGTTTTTAATTTCGACAAAGTTCATTTGTCTATTGTTTTCTTTTCTTGCACATGCCTTTAGTACTGAAGTTCTCACTTTTGATATGATCGTTTCCATTTTGGTTTTCTGACTTTAGGGTCATGTTTAGAAAGTCATTCTTTACCTTAAAATAAAATGGATGTTTTTCTAAATTTTCTTGCAGTATGTTTGTGGCTTTATCCATTTTATTTTTATTGGGAACTTATTTTTATGGGTAGTATCATGTTGTATAAGTTTATTTTATGCCAGTGGTTTGTCAGTAGTCCCCATAACATCTTTTATGCAGCATGTATTTTTAAAGGAACTGGGTTCAGCTTGTGTTCAAAGGAAGTGAGCAGAGTGCAGTAGACAAACAGGGATCAAAGCCATGCTCTTGTCTTGGCTAGGTCCAGCAGCAGGCCTGTGTGGCTGAATTTAGTACAGATTCACACAACTAGAAGGAATAGAGGATCTAAAATGACAGGCTTTTAATTGTTTAAATTTTTATTTGTTTTCTTTGGAATGAGAAAGGTAGGGATAGAGAGACAGAGACACAGGATAGGTGTCCTTTTTTTTTCACTTTTTTTTTGAGAAGTTTTTGTTATAGGGCATGTGCGCTCGCCAGACAGACAGAGACAGAGAGACAGAAAGCGAGAAATCACCCCCCAGGGGGGATGGCCACGCTGCAATCCCTTCTCCTCCATTCTCCTCTCGGGATCTTGGGCATGCACACACACGCACCCGGTGTGAGTTTTAAGCCACCGGGTCCAGGATGCAAACCGCGGTTGACTACATGGGAGTCCAGCAATATAGCCATTACGCTAACTGCTGTTCCCAGGATAGATGTCTTTCACTGGTGTCGCTGTATTGTGATCCTCCTACTCCAGCATCCCAATTAGGCAGGATTACAAGTGTGCACAACCATGACTAGTATGGTCAGGTTGAACCAGAAACCAAAACTGGCCTTCCATGCAGCATCTAACCTCCTAACAGAGGTACTATGTGTATGCCTCCACACCTAGGTCTTCTTATTTTTTTAACTGTTCTTTAGCCTGACAGTATTTTCAGTTTACCTTCTCATCTGAGCAATAACTTGTTCCTTTTTTTTTTTTTTTTTTAAGAGGTTTTTGCTACAGGCCGTGTGTGCTCGCCAGACAGACAGAGAGAGACAGAGAGACAGAAAGCGATAAATCCCCCCCCCCCGGGAGGATGGCCACATCGCAATCCCTTCTCTTCCATTCTCCTCTTGGGATCTTGGGCACGCACGCACACATGCTTGGTGTGAGTTTTAAGCCACCAGTTCTGGGATGCAAACCACAGTCAACTACATGGGAGTCCAGCGACATAGCCATTACACTAACTGCTGGTCCCAGCAATGACTTGTTCTTAGATTGAGATTACTTTCTTTTGAGGGGAGACAGTCACATGTTTTGTTATCCCCTTAGGGCTTCCTACAATCAGAGATGGTCAAACACTTGGGAACTTCTAGAACGTGAAGTATTACACTTTGAGTCTTTTTTGACAGCCCTGGAGAGTACCAGTCCGATCCATAAGCTTGTAGTGGGGAATGTTGGAGGGGGCCTGTCCTGCTTACATTTTATGTGTAATACTCTTAGCTCAGCAGTCACAGAAATTGTGACCTTATTGCTGACACATTAGTACATATGGCTGGTACATCTTTCTTTCTGCTCTACTTTCTCCAACAGCAGTGATTGTGTTTGTTTTGTTTTGTTTTTGTTTTGTTTTTCTTTTGTTTTAGTTTGCATACTTATTTATTCCATGAGTGAGAGAGAGACAGAAATACAGAACCCATATATAGGGTCATGATGCTGCAATCCACATCCAGCCTTGGCCAATCCTGGATCCTGGGCACACACTTGGTATGTTCTGAGAAGTGCCTGGTTATGAACCCAGAGCCTACCCATGTGGGCCAGCTTCTCAGAGCATTATGTTTCACTGCTGTGCCACTGTGTAGCCTGTGAATATATTTTTTGCTTGTTTGTTTATAAACAGGTGCCCCCTGTTTATAAACAACCATTAATATCCAATCAAGGGTCTTTTTAAAGTGCATGT